TATCTTCAAACATTTGAGGCCAATAAAAACGTTTTCTAATTTTCTCTATCATCTTTTCTTTTGAACTATGAGCGGCAGTTGGATCATTGTGAAACATGTAAAGTGCAGGTTTTAATTCTGTTTTCTTGAGTACTCTAATTGGGTTACTTAGGTTATTCTTGTTAATTTTGTATAATAAATTATGTTTGATAATATAATATTTTGATAATACGATTAATTTATGTTGTTGTGTTTGATTAAAGGTAGTTGGGTATGTTTGGTTGGTTAAATAATCAAATAGTTGATTATATTGTTATTCTTCTATGGTTAAGAATTTAAGCTGTTTATTATGCTGTAAACACTTTCGCTTTCACTTAATTCTTTATATTATATTAATGATTAATTAATAAGAGGGAGAGGTGTGCATTATCAATGTCACTAAGGTAAAAGTGTAATTGTGCACGAAGGTTTTCTTGTTGTACTAAAAGAGGTTCTTCCCACTAGAGGTTATTAATTAAGTATTCTGGTTTCATATCCGGTTGAATTTTTCCTAAACTATACCCAATGATACAGTCATGTATGATAGTTTCGTACAATAAATTTTTCTTGTATGTCTTGCAATATGTGTGAACGTGATGATTTTCAGTATCACATGAGAAGGTGCATTGTGATCCTCCTCTGGTAATGGGTTGTCCAGCAATTATTTGTTTAACCTTTATATTCTCACGGTAGATTTCCTCTAATTCATCATTTAGAGATTTATATCTAATAGTAGTAATTAAGACGGTATTAGAGTATTGTTGAGATAATTCCTCTTCAAACCATTCCTCGCTTTCTTCAGATTTGGGTGAAGAAATATGCCATTCTATATCTTCCTTTATGCTATTGTTTTCATATTCATCGTCAGCTATATCCGTTTCAGTAAGGTCAATAATAAAGCATTCAGCAGTTTCTTTGTCATACATGCGGGACAATGCATCAGCATTTGCATTATATTTTCCTGCTCTATGTTCAATGGTAAAATAATGTTATTGCAGTTCCATGATCCATCTAGCACGTCTTCCTTTTGGCATTTTTGAGGTTTTTAGCCATATTAGAGCAGCATGATCAGTAACGATAGTAAATAGTCGATTAAGGTAATGATGAAAATGCTTGATTGTCCAAACAATTGCTAGACACTCTAAGTCAGTGATGGGATAATTTTCCTCAGTTTTGTTGGTCGATCTGCTAGCATATGCAATAATATATTCCTTTCTATCCTTCTTCTGAGATAATACAGCACCTAATCCTTTCTTTGAAGCGTCGGTATATAAGTAAAGGTATTTCAAAGTCTGAATACTGCAAAATTGGTGCTTTGATAAGCCTTTCCTTTAATCGATCAAAGGCATGTTATTGCTTTTCTCTCCATTCAAAAGGCTGATCTTTCTTTAACAATAAGGTCAACAGCTTGGTATGTCATGCAAAATCTTTAATAAATTTTCGATAGTAGCCAAATAGTCCTAATGTAGCATATAGTTGAGTTAAACTTTTTGGTTCTAGAAATTCCTCGAACTTTTTGATTTTTTCTGGATCAGGTTAAATTCTACCTTGTTTTACAATGTGTCCTAAGAATGCTAAGAAAGGTTGACAAAAGTAACATTTCTTTAATTTTATTGCAAGATGAGCATCCCTAAAGGCTTAGAACACTTATTTAATATGGTCAACATGTAATTCAAAAGGTCCTTTTATATAAATGACTACATCATCTAGATAGACCGATACAAATAATCTAAGAAAGTCTTTGAAGACCCAATTCATAAGCCTTTGAAATGTTTCAGGTGCATTATTTAATCCAAAAGGCATGACTAGGAATTTGTATAAGCCATTTGCTGTAATAAAAGCAGTTTTCTCAATATCATCAGGATGCATGGCTACTTGCTAATAACCACTAGCTAAGTCGAAAGTAGTGAACCAATTGGCTCCACCTAATGAGTCCAATAAGTCATTGATTCTTGGTAATGGATACGCGTCAATTTTTGTGACAGCATTGACTTTTCGATAATCGACACATAATCTTTTTTCACCTCCTTTCTTTCCTATGGTTACTACAGGTGAGGCCTATGGGCTATACGAGAGTCGAATTATACCATTTTCTTCCATTTTCTTTAGCTCTTAATTCAAGAATCTGGTATTTTCAGGATTATTTCGATATGGTTTTTGAGCAATTGGCATAGCTGTTCCAGTATAGATACGATGCTTGATTTCTATTGTTCTTTCTATATCTGTTTGACTCCTTGCGCAAATATTGTAATATTCTCCTAACAGATTCATAAAAGTCTATTGTTGATGATAATCCAGTGGTCCTAATTGCTCCAAATACGTTGGATCAATTTTAGTAGTATATCCTGCAACTTCAGCAAGATAGGCAGCTGGGTTGTCTTCTATTAGCTCTTCTAATTCTCCATTATCATCAGTATCCTCTTCAAATTGAATAGGAGAGTAATGATCAGACCATAGGTTGAATCCTAACTCATCGTCTAATTCTGATTCTTCTGAGTTAACATCGTTGTTAGTGATAATCCATTTGCGTCACTAGATAACTGCGCCATCTAATGTCACCAATGATCACTAGGAAAAGCGTGATCATCATTTTCACTAATTTCATTGCTATTACGGTTATCGTTGTGATATTCATTTTCTTTATTTTATTTACTATCATGTTTATCATTATTTTATTTAATATATTTAT